AGCTCTCACAGGGTGCTGTTTTCTGGCACACAGATGCGGTACACCAGGAGGGTGTCGGTCTGGCCGGTGGCGTTCGTTGGGGGGCTGCGCTATGAATCCCCAAAAGTGAGCCCAGCAGGGAAGGTGGTGGGCTGGAAAACCGTCTTTGACCCTCACCGGCCCTTCGCCATCGACATGGCCGGGTTTGCCATCAGCATCAGGCTGATCCTGGAGAAGCCTCAGGCCAGTTTCAAGCTGGAGGGAGTTAAAGGAGGCTACCAGGAAACCAGTCTGCTGAAGGATTTAGTGACCATGGACGGGCTGGAGCCCAAAGCAGCCAACTGCACAAAGGTGAGTAGGACAAGGGACCTCAAAGATGCATTCTCCTTGTGGGGTCCTGGCTGCTCTTGTTAACAAAGAGCCCCAGATGTACAATTCATGCCCAGATTGCTTCTCCAAAATCCAGGAGGTTTCAGTCCAGAACGATTCCTACTCCCTGCCACTGCTCCATGTGCCTGTGAAGTCTCCCCCAGGTCCAACCCCTTTGAATCCCCTGCCTCAAAGAGCTGTGAGCCCCGAGCTGCTGAGGATCCCACCCAGTGCATGTGCTTCTCTCGGGGCCTCCGTGGCATGCAGAGCCCCTGAACTCTTTGTGATTCCCTCTAGGTGTTGGTCTGGCACACAAGAACCGAGAGGCCCACCCTGGTCAACGAAGGCAAGCGTGGATTTACAGACCCAAGAGTAGAGGTGTAAGCAGGGAGCCAGCTCCAGGGTGTGAGTACCCCTGTCTTTACGGGCTGGGCAGGGCCAATAACCTGTTCCTGTTCCCTCACTGTGCTGTGACATCTGCAGGGGCTGTGTGGGGGTTTGTCCCAGCTTTGCCTTACCACAGCTCACAGCTGAGTGCCTTCAGGTTCTAGTTAAGACTGCTGCAAAATGAGGGAAATGCATCTTATTCTGATGAAAGCAGAAATACAACATATTAACAATATTTAGTAGTTTGATAAGGTGTAGCAAAGAATCAAGGTTCAATCTGGTGGCTGAGTTATAATGATACTTGCAGTAAGGCAAACTGATGGAAGAAAGCAATGGGATTAGAGTCTGTAGTTATCTATGTGCTATGATTTTAATGTGTGTGTCAATCAAAGTTTGGGCACAGTAGATGATTGGAATTGGGCTAGGATGATTATCACGGGGACTGAAGATGGCAAGGGGTGAGGGTGGCCCTGCTGTTGAGTAGCCAGGGTGTCAGACTGGACCCCCTTGCTTTCTAAACTCCTCCTCAGAGAGGAGCCCAGGTGTGGCTAAACCCAGCCTTAGACCTGGCCAATGTTTTATGATTAGGGATGTTAGCTAAGTTGAGGATAATAGAGATAAAGGGAAATCCTCCTGTTTGGTCATGAGGTTCAGAA